GAGCACAGGCAGGAACACGGGTGAGGAGCTGGAGCAGAAGCTGCCACGTGATGACGCTGTACAGTGGTAACTTCTGGCTCAGGGTCACCATCTCCTCTGTGAAGGTATTGTAAACCGCAGATCTACCACACATATTCTCATGGAATTCTCTTTTTTTTAAAAAAAAAAAAATCCCTTCTGTATCTCCTAGAACATGGTTACTTCAGGGTCCTCAAATATTTGTTCACTACATAATGAAGGAAAGATAAGACGGAAGGAAGCTGTGGGTTATTTACACAGATCCCACAAGGAAATGTGCATGGCTGACTGCCCCGGCACTAAAACCTATTTTGCGAAGAGGGAAAGAATATTTGTCTTAAAATCAATCTTCTCAAATAGTCCAGGAAGACATTTATTTCCATCTAAAGCCATGTGTAAGTTCATCTGAGCATGTATTGAGGAAACCTCCTTGGGGGTGAAGACACTGGAACCAGGCTTCTGGTCCTTGGGATCTTCTGCCGGTCTTTGAATAACACTATGCACATGTTAATCATAAAAACAAAGCACAAGAGATCTCATGTTCTTCAAGCACCAGATGGGAGCAGCTGAGCCTTGCCCAGCCACTGCTTGGCATTGCTCATTCTCTTGAATGAATTTCCAAGCTTATCTAATGCTTTTCTTTCTCTGGAGAGGTAAATGGGGCTGGAGCCTTAAGGGCCAAAAGAAGCTAAGAAGCAAGTTATCCCCATCCCCCATCTCTCTCTCTTATTTTCCATAGGGTCTTACGTACTCTAGGCCACCACTAAACTCACTATGTTATTGAGAAAGATGGCCTTGAACTTTCTGCCTCTATTTCCTGAGGACTGTGATTGCAGGTGCATAGCACCAAGTGTGGTTTCTGTGGTGCTGAGTACTGAACTGGGGCCTCTGTGCATGGTAATCAAACCAGCTGAGATACATGCCCACTCCCTAGGAAGCAATTTAGAAGACAGTGAGAGGTAGGCGTGGTAGCACACTCTAATCCCAGCATTTAGGAGGCAGAGGCTGGCAGTGACTTGGAGGCTAGCCTGATCTAGGGATGTAGAGAAACCCTTTCTGCCTTTAAAAAAGTAGTAGTAGGAGGAGGAGGAGGAGGAGGAAGAAGAGGAGGAAGTGGAGGAGGAAGAAGAGGAGGAGGAGGAGGAAGAGGAGGAAGAGGAGAAGGAAGAAGAGGAAGAGGAAGAGGAGGAAGAGGAGGAGGAAGAAGAGGAAGAAGAGGAGGAGGAGGAAGAGGAGGAAGAGGAGGAGGAAGA